CGTGCATTAAATTGATAAAATTAGATAAAATATTTAAAAATTATTGAATAAAGTTGCTACAGTCAGACTTAAATTTATGTAAAGTACTAGCCTGTCTTAACTCAGTAGGGAGAGAATTCCACAGTACTGCACCGCTATAACTAAAGCTATTTTTCAAGTAATTAGTACGCGGTAGTGACAAAGCTAGTTTGTTACTGGTGTCTCTCAATGCATAATTTGTGATACTATTGCGATCAACAAACATATTAGAAAGATAATCTGGGGCAAGACCATTCAAGGATTTATACACCATGATAGCCTTGGTAAGCTTACGCTGAGATACAAGATTTTTCCATCCAAGACTTTCGAAAAGATAATCGGCATTTGTATCATAACTAGAAGATGTCAATACCCTGGCAGCACGATTTTGTAATTTTTGCAATTTGTTAACTAGATAACTACTGCAACTATCCCAGACAGCAGGGCAGTAGTCGAAATATGGTTGAACTAAGCACTTGTAAATAAGTTGCATTGTGGTAAAAGGAACATAAGGTCTAATGCGTTTTAGTGCACCAATACCGGAAGCAACTTTTTTACTCAGTTTCTCAATATGAACATTCCAGGATAAGTTCTCATCAATGTGTATGCCGAGTGATTTTGTATGAGAGACTTGTTTGGAACGTTATTTATTACTAATAAAGGAGTAGATTGAAAAGTGTTTATTCTTTGGCGAGAGCCAATTAGCATAAATTCAGTTTTAGTCTGGTTTAAAGTAAGTTTGTTTGCTGATAACCATTCACTGACATTAGCAAGATCCTCGTTAAGATTATGATTAATTTCATGTATGTTATTACTTGCATATGTCAAATTAGTGTTATCAGCAAACATTCGTGCCCGAGAGTGTATTAGACAATTAGGAAGATCATTAATATAGATTAAAAATAAAAGCGGGCCTAATATAGTTCCCTGAGGAACCCCACATTGTAGTAATCGATTCGAGGAGAAATGACCGTTAACAAAACACTTTTGATTACGTTCATTTAGATACGATCTTAACCAGTTACCCGCAGTTCCCTTAATTCCATATGCATTAAGTTTGTTCAGCAATATTTCATGATCTACAGTGTCGAACGCTTTTTTAAGATCAAGAAACATTACAGCATTTACATTACCACTGTCAATATTATAAGCCCATTCGTTGGTAGCCTCAAGAACAGAGGTGACAGTAGAATGTAGGCCTCGAAATCCCGATTGATAATTAGTTAATAATTCATTTTCAGCTATAAATGTATATAGCTGATCATAAATTACCCTTTCAAAACCCTTAGCCACAATAGGAACAATAGAAATGGGACGATAGTTATCAACGCAATTGCGTTTGCCTTGTTTGTATATAGGAATAACTTTAGCACATTTCCATTCGTTTGGGAATATGCCTGTAGTGATAGAACGATTAAAAATAAGACAGAGGGATTCTGCAATTAAGTCAGAGCATTCTGTAATTAACCTAGAAGATATTTTGTCTAAACCTGTTGCTTTAGAAGTGCTTAACGTGGACAGTAATGCGTAAACGGTTGGAATACTTATTTCCCTCAGTTGAAAAATAGCATTATTTTGGTTAGGTAAATAATCAAGGTAAGACCGATTGCTATAATTAAGATTAATTTTATCTGCAAGGTCTGGTCCGATGTTTGAAAAGTGATCGTTAAACGCATCAGCAATTTTGCTAGGGTCATTAATTAATACGCCATTCAAATCAACCTCGCCAATGTGAGGGCTGTTCCTATTTTTAGAGGTAAGTTCATTAATGATCTTCCAGGTCTTATTAGGATTGTCTTTATTATCATTGAAAGAATTTTTGAAATAGGCTTGCTTTGCGTAGAAGATTTCAGAATTAACAAAATTACGCATTTTCTTAAAAGAAAGCCAATCTTGAGTATCGTTGGAACGAATTGCTTTAATTTTTAGGACATCTCGCCTATGCATTTTATCTTTCAAAAGAGATGTGATCCAAGGCGATTTAATAGCCTTAACGCGCTTAGCTCGAATTGGGGCGTGCTTATCTGCGACAGAATTGAATGTGGCTTTCCAAGCATGCCACATGTCATTAGGATTTTCGTACTGATTGATATAGTTCCAACTCTGTTGACTAATATCATTACGAAATTTAGTAGAATCAAAGTTTTTAAACTTTCTGTAGTTTATTGAAGAATGTACCCCCGTCGATGAACCCACAGAAAGTTTGCGAAAGGCGTAAATAAGACTATGATCGCTTATACTCACATGCGAAACACCAGAGCAAACAACCTTGTCAGGAATATTTGTGAAAATATGATCTAACAATGTTGAGGAGGAGTCTGTGATTCGAGTAGGTTCATTTATAAGCTGAGAAAGATTATATAAATCGGCAATATCCATCAGTCTAGTGCTGATAGAACTATCCAGTATAAGTCAAGTCTATTCAGTACAGTACTAAGTTTATTCAACTTTAGAGTATTTTACACCTCAAGCGTTTTATGCAATGCTAATAGAAACCTTACGATTTTAGGACGGCAACGCGACAACGAAGGCCAAAACAAACTCCTACAAATAAATGGTAGTAAAGATAATTCGTCGTATATTATCAATCGTATATATGAATTTAATGCAGTCTTAGAAGTTGAAGACATGAGTTTTATGGTTGGGAAGAGTTCTGCTGAACTCAGTTTGAAGTTGTACTTGTTGCGGCTTGAAATGCAGCCGTTGTATCAAGACTTGAAAAACTGTGATTTGGCGTTGTAAACAGATTCCATTCTTTTCAATGACTTATTGTATTGGTAGCCGTTGCCGTCGCGTTGCCGTCCTAAAATCGTAAGGTCAGCTCTAAAATCTTCTGTGCACGAACTTGTCTTGGCAGCGTCGTGCCTTGAAACAAAAGCACACTAGTTTTACAAGTGGATAATTGTAGTAATAATGTTAGTGAAGTCTTGTCTCCAGTAAAGGATTTAAATTTATAACGTAGTTATAACGTTTAACTATGAAAGCATTCTTAAAATCTAAGATCAAAATTTAACATGCAATAGATAAAGAAAATTCATGAACTCAGAGTTCTGATGAATTAAAGAGCACTATGTACACAATCCAGTGTTCATGATTGGCATTCATGTCAGTATAAAACAAACTCAAATTTACAATTACGCTCTGGTGGAGTAGTCGAAACAAGCGCCACAGGATTGAGGGCAGATACGTCTGGTCATCAAGCTGTTTTTTACATTAAGGTCACAATCTTTGATGATGGTCCACCGACTACAGATACGTGAACTGTCGAGGCAATCTGAAGAAGAAGAAGAAACGTTTTCGAGTCAATTTCCATATATACTAACACAAGTTAAATTCTTAATCTTTACAATCTTAATTTCAATCTTGGTACTGATCCAGGCCCATCGCCTCCTCTACGCGGAATCACGAAAACAACGAAGATCGCCGACGAACTTTGACAGGACCTCTTTTGGGATTTGTCAGTGGGGCGGGGGACCCCATGAAGAGAAAGGGACCCAACTAGGTCCTAAAGTGGTGAACGGGAAAGTGTGAACTTGTCTGGCCCCAGAAAAAGTTTACATTTTTAAGTGTCTGGGGGTTGATTTTCGGCATTTTTAGACACAATTTTTTTGTATTTTTCATCCGCTAGACAACGATTTGGTCATGGAAATACTAAAATAATCTTCTTAACTAAGTTATTGTTCTTTTTTTTGCTGATATTGTAGACAGAAGGGACATTCACTGGGAGGGGGGGGGGGGCGACAACCATAGGCGTCGGGCCTGATGCTTTTCAGGGGGGCAGTTGAAAGTTTGCCCGAATTTTTATGGAGGATTGTAATGAAATAACCTGAATTTAACCTATTTTCTGATAAATCTGCCCGAATTTTCTTATTTTTTCTAGCATTTTCCCGAATTTAGATGGTTTCCCAAAATTACCCCCCTTCCCCCTGTCTCGTACGCCTATGACAACAACATAGTTCACTGGAAGGGCCAACACAGGGGCTGGGGGAATAAGTCCCCCCGTCTATGGTATTAAAAGAAGCCCTGAGCTTCGATAATGAAAATCATCTGCCTGCGACACGCCGGCGGCTGTCGCCTGGCAATGAAAACTAGCCTTTATCTAGCCCTTACACAACACTCCAAGAACAGCCTGATTGAAAATATCCTGGTTAATTTAAAAAAATAAACCATCTTGAATATTAGTGATACCACTACTGTATAAGGGACCGGTCATTAAATATGGCAAGGGGGGGGGGAGGGGGATGGAGAAGAAACTAGAAATTTTGAAAAAAATTTTGGCCCCCCCCCTCAAAAATTATATGTCTTTTCAAGCCCCCCCCCCCCCTTATGCATTTTATACTTTTTAAAGACCCCCTCTTGTACCGCTTGAAATATAGTTTTGTATTGATGGCTGGAGTATTAAAAGAGGTATAAAATTTGATGAAACTAGTTAAATAAATATTTTACAATTTATTTAGGTAGGTTACTCTATGGCCTATGCTTGTCTCGCCTACATCCACTGAACACTATATACGTACTCAATATGATACAAACCGATACGAACACTATATACGTATGAACCCAGTGTTCCAGTTTAAAGGGTATTTTATGCATCTCTTTTGGCTGTTCATAGTATATAACGAGAAACAATCCTTTTGTTGGGAAAAATCCGAAGACCCCCTCTTTCACATAATGTAATTTTCAAGACCCCCATCGCAAGGAAAAATAATTCAGGACCCCCCTACTTTCTACTCCACCCCCTGCCATATTTAATGACCGGTCCCTAACCACAATGCAAAGCGCTACGAAAACGTAATAAGGGAATTATCAATTAGTAGCCTCGCGCCCTTGGCTCGGAGATTAACCAGGAAATTGTAACCGGGGTGTTTTATAGTGTAATCCTAAATTACTCTTGATCCTCATCTTACCAGGGCAGTCTGAATGTTCACTGTTCAATGCCTCTGTTCCATCATAACAGCAGCCATACTTGTAGGAAGATGGACATATCGTCTGTTGTGGAGCTATAACAAGTAGCACAGTGGTCAATCCACGAACATTTTACTTAATTGTGTGCGGAAAAAGGATTCGATTCCAGCAATTTATGCAGATGTCTGATTATAATTTCGCCTCAGTCGCTTGTGAGAAGAATGTTTCCCAGTTTGACTCAGTGAGCTGAATATATATCTAGAGCAAGAACTTCTTCAGCCATTCGGCGCATGAGGAAAGTGAAGCCAAAATGGCGAAATTGACGACCAATATCTATGAAGTAAGTTGTAAACAATTTTCACAACATTTTCCAACGGACCATATGTATAGGTAATCATGCGATGGCGAGTACAATTAGGGATTAATAGTACGAGTGATGTTTGGAAACCTTGCCAAAACTATTTTTCAACTATTTTTGCCTGAATTGGGGGCGGTCTCAAACTGAAAAATACGAGTTTATTACGTATATGCAGTTCACCACAGGAGTCCGAATAAATAACAACCATTTTGAGTATACCGTTCCTCTAATGACTGGTCCCTGTAAAATATGGGAGTGTATCTAAAAGTCGAGGGTCGAGAGTCGAGAGTAAAGGTCGAGAGTCGAGAGTAAAAGTCGAGAGTCGAGAGTAAAAGTCGAGAGTCGAGAGTAAAAGTCGAGAGTCGAGAGTAAAAAGTCGAGAGTCGATCGAGAGTAAAAAGTCGAGAGTCGGCAAATGTCATCAGAAACAACAAAGTCAAAATATTTTTAACCACGTTTAACACAATCTATATATAGCTTTACATAGCCATTCCGTAACAAGTACCAACGGCTGAAATACAAATAATATCGCATTTGATGCCTCAATCTTGCTAAGTGTTTTCACATGTCATTTCATTCTAACTGACACATAAACTCCGCTGAATTTTGACAGCCATCTCCAGGCTTGTAACTAAAATGAGGGTCCTGAAGGGGGGGGGGGGTCGTATTCCCATTTCCCAGCCCAAATTTTGATTAAATCCCCATCGGCGTACCGGGCGGGGGGGGCGGCAGCCCCCCCAGTTTGTTGGACAAACAAAGCCAGTCGGGCAATATTCGCTTCACAGTCGGGCAACAACGGCAAATTTTTTTCCGCCCCCCCCCTAATTTTTTCCTTCCCGTACGCCCATGTAAATACCATTGTCCCGGAGCACAAATCCCATCATCTCAGTGGCTGTCCTGCTCAAATATTCCCATTTTCTATTGTCTTTTTGCTGATGAATCCCAGTCCCAGTGCATGAAATCTCATTTTCCCACCCAAAAATAAGCAAATCCCAGTTCTCATTTTACCCCTTCAGGACCCTCTAAAATGTCACTTACAGTATTCATTAACGTACGTTTATATCAAACGAGAGCGTATTAAGAAATCCACGTTGATCACAATCGATCTAACGATTCATACAATTGTGAATTCATAAATACGAGCCAGTAAAAATAGGATTGTTTTGTCGTATGTGTGACTCTATCGGGTGGTCATATGTCTTGCACGTGATTGTAAAGTCCTAGTATTTATATGTAGCTTGTAGTTGTAGCTTCACATATGTGATATGAGTAATTTTTCGCGGAAATAGGTGCATGTAAAAGCGATAAAACTAGTTATTAGGTAATAGTTATTATTATTGAATGTTGTGGCTAAATTTTTGCGAAAGTTTTTGTTTTATATTATACTGGATTATTCCTTTGATTGTATATGCCTCTTGTTTACTTTAATTTCGAGAATTTGAGCATACTCAAATTATGTTTCTCACTGAATATTGTTTGCTTTATGTTCCGATATAGGAAATGAAATTAGTTCAGCCGTCATAGGCGTACGAGCGGGAAAAAATCAGGGAGCCAGAAAGAAAATTTACCCGACTTTTACCCACTGAATAAAATTTTCCGTGTAACTAAATTTCCAAAATTGTCGTTGGGAAGTAGACAAAAGTATTTTCCTATTTGTCGATTCCTCGTTACTTTTACATATTTCTGTCTGGTATTTTCAAATACCATATTGCATGTACTGTCTTCTTTTTAAATTTATTTCCCCCAATTTTTGCCCGAATTTATACGTTTATAATTTGCATGACTTTATTTTGACTGGGGGGCGGGACTGCCCCCCCCCCCCCCTTCGCCCATACGCCGCTATAATCAGCCGTTGTTACGGATCGGTTGATATATATTGTGTTAAAAATATTTTGACTTTGTTGTTTATGATGACAATTTTGCCGACTCTCGACTTTTCAGTTACTCTCGATCGACTCTCGACTTTTTACTCTCGACTTTTTACTCTCGACTCTCGACTTTTACTCTCGACTCTCGACTTTTACTCTCGACTTTTACTCTCGACTCTCGACCTTTACTCTCGACTCTCGACCCTCGACTTTTAGATACACTCAAAATATGGTTAATTTTAACAAAATTATTGTGACAAATAGCTGAAAAATTCAAACTTTTCTGGAGGCATGCTCAGACACCTCGCGGAAAAGATTCGCCGTGGACTTACTTCATCTCAATACCAGCCCCCTTCGCAAAATCGCTGCGCTATCTCTGACCGACTGATAGAGCTATCTAGTATAAATAGAAAAGATTTCCACTTACAGCAGAAGCCACATGACTTGCGGCAATATTTTCGACCTAACTCTTGCTCACAACATCCAATGGATTTCCAAAAAGTACAATACATCCCAGTGTCTCGGCATCCTTGATCTTCAAAATGTACCAAAAACAGCGTCGGTTTAGAAAACGACATGCATGTTTGTGCCTTATCATATTCAATTCTGGATCGTACCTACTAGCTATTTTACCCCCATTCCGTCTCCCCTTGACAAGTGAAATCAACTGATGTTAGACAGAGTATAATAATAAAGATGGCGCATTGCCACATAAGGAATTAAAAATTGAATACTCACAACTTCCTGTGGTAATGATTCTTGTTGATTGTGTAGTTTGCGTATTGTAGATTTGTCTATTATTGCGATTTCCTAAAATATTTGTGATTAGTATAATTACATAGGTGATTATTGAAAATTCTCCACGCTGATTGGTTGCCGTTGAGGTGATTATTACGCGATAATCACCTAAGCGATTTTCAAAGTGGCGGCCGAAGCCTTTTTGTCAATTAAATGACGAAGAAATGTGTATTTTCTTATTTTTTCCAAATAATCACCTATGAAATTATACTAAAACAATTATTCACCTCAGGCTCGGTGATTATCGTGAATAGAAACCTCGACTTCGTCTCGGTTTTTATTCACCGATAATCACCTCGCCTTCGGCGAATAATTGCTAATTATCCAAATAAGTGAACAAATTTTTGGTGTATAAACAATATTTAAAATTAAATAATATTGATGGCAAGCCATTGCAATACTGTATATTGGTATAATTAATTACAATTATATTTTTACTTGTTGATTGTGTGTATTCTGTAATTCTGGTCTTCCTATTATTTCGTTTCCCTGAAAAAAAGTGGAAGTTAGTAAATGGCACTTTGATGCGAACGCAAACCGAAACATCAACAAAGAACACAAAACAGCACATTGCAATGTAATACCATATTATACAAAGGCACACGATTGGATTACAATCTTGAACATAACTCTTGAGACCTAATATTGCAGGGTCGATTTAACCATAGCCTTCTCCTAATATTGCAGGGTCGATTTAACCATAGCCTATCGAAGGGAAGATGGCTGTGAAACTCATTAGAATAACAATATAACTCATTATCTATGTTGGTCAACGTTTATTCATAAATCTGGTCCTTCACCGTCACGTGTGTATTGTATTCTTGCCCAACTAACCAATAGCAATGTTTTAGGAAAGTCACCTATCCGTGACTCGAACAATAGGGAAACTGGAAATTGCTATTGGTGGATTTGGTAAAAATACAATACACACGTGACGGTGAAACGACCAGATTTATGAATAAACGTTGACCAACATAGATAATGAGTTATATTGTTATTCTAATGAGTTTCACAGCCATCTTTCCTTCGATAGGCTATAATGAAACCAACTTCGTCATCTCCTCTACCCTAGTTCAATGTTGCGAACAACCTCGAGACTGTTGATAGTGTATGCGAATTTTGAGACAGGCTCAATTATGTTCAGGATTGTGGTATGCTACCTTGATGAGCAGTATTGCACGCTTTAAGCCGTCCGCATACGAGAGAAACTTCCTGAGCTAATCGCTTCGTGTGACGGCTATTTTGTGTGAGGATTTACCTTCTCGAGGCCTTGAGGAAAATATCTATCTTGTTTGATATTGTTCATTGCGCTGCGAGAAAAAAATTAACGTCTGCGGATGTTGCGAGCGTAGTCTGTGGCGTAGTGCTGAGCTGTTTGAATTAACTAGCCAATGAGAACCAATAGTTTCTCCACGTGACTTTGGTCAAAATGGCGACAATGGAGGGAAATGCAAACGATCTTACCAACGACGTTGCTGTTGAGTACTTTTTCCGCGAGGCAGTTAGCTCAGTAAGTTTCTCTCTTGTCCGACAGGCTTTACCTACTTTTCCTATTCATTTTTCTTGTCCTCTCCTGTTTATCAGTGTAATCTGGTCGTGCTAGAAATGAAAACAAATCATATTAAAAGATTGGCCAAAAATATTGTTACCGCCAAGGCCGGGGACACTGCCGCGTACGTTGGTGCCGCCGGTACTGGCCAGATTCACAGCATTAAGTAGCAGGTAAATATGAATATGAGAATTTGTGGAAAGACTCATTAAGGTGATTCGTCAGTAATTGTTCCGGAAATGAGAATTTGCTGAAACTTCCCAGGGACGAAGTGTCTGTCTTCCTAGTGGGCGAAATGTCTATCTAGGGATTATATACAACAAAACATGGCATTTTAGCGAATCAAAAACCATTGTCCATTGATGTGCATTGCCGTGGTGCAAAGATGTCTTTTTCTTAGACATATTATTTTGGGAATGACATGTCATTTTTGAAGGTATATATTTCCTGAAGCACGCCTAATCAATATTTACTAAAGACTGGTTTTCTCCTTGCCCTTACTCTTTCCTTATCACTTCACATTGCAGTTCAACTACATATATTAGCTAGAACTTGTTATTAGATATGCGCAGTAAAAGTGCGCAATGCAAAACTGATGAATCACCTTAATACGTCAAGAAGAAAACTCAAACGAAAACCAATAGTTTAATGAGGTGTTGTATCAACATATAAAAAATTCTCCTGATTTGCATAATTCACGTCCGTGTTGCAAATATACAACATCTCGCCTTCGGCCCGAGTTTGTATATCTTATAAAACGTATATATTAAAAAGAAGGACATTAACGTACAGAGAATTTTGCACGATGAACAATACGAAAAATCTCACATACCACTTACAAACCGACGAGCAGTTTCTTCAACTGTTTCTTGAGGATAAACAAATCTTCCTGGCAAAAAAATAATTAAAATAAAAGTCCTGCTCAAACGAGGATGGAAGTTGATCAAAGTTGGCAAGCGAAAGTTTGCGTGTTTCTTAACTCGCACATGCATGCCCCCCATTTTGTCATTGGATGTTTTTGATCTATGCTGCTTGTTAGGCGGCGGTATTTACTTCCTCAAATAGTTATCATCTAATGCAGTCGCGAACCATAAAGTAAACATATTTATAGCTTACAAATCATGACAGAATTTGAAAGAGCTTAACGAAAGTGCTAGAAGACCCTGAAAATGGAGACTGGAGACTCCAAATAACTTTTACAAGCTTCCTACGCCCCTGATTGACAGTATTGTACCATTTGTTTTGTAATATGTATTTTGTATTTTCGTAGTTCTTAACATTGTTAACGATTTAAATTATTTTGTAAATTGTAACATTTACTATAATATATTGTCGATGCTCCACTTGGAAAGCCAGCGTGGTCCATCAATTAATCCTGGCGAATGAAAACATAAGGGCCTGATTCTCAGGTTAATTAGAGACTAACTCGTTTTTCTTTTGTTCTGCACTGCTTTAGTAAATGCACATATAAGTGGAAAAATCTGATTTTTTCCGGCAATTTTCAATCGGCTCGTATTTGGTCACTTTTGCGTGAAATGATACAAAAAAGTGTCATTCGAAAGCTATCCCCCTAATCTTCATTAAAAATATGAAAAATATAAATCTGAATATTGAATGCACAAGAGCACTCTAAATCTGGATCACCATTTTTGATACACCCTGTAGTTCAACTGTATGGCTTACCAGTCTGCCCAACATACTCTTCTCTACGGGAATTCGTTCGCGGACCTATACGGCGAGAAAATACATGCATGGGGGTTTGAAGAGATCATAATACATGGGAGTTTGAAGAGATTATAATACATGGGAGTTTGAAGAGATCATAATACATGGGGGTTTGAAGAGATCATAATACATGGGAGTTTGAAGAGATGATACATGGGAGTTTGAAGAGATCATAATACATGGGAGTTTGAAGAGATCATAATACATGGGAGTTTGAAGAGATCATAATACATGGGAGTTTGAAGAGATCATAATACATGGGAGTTTGAAGAGATCAAAATACATGGGCGTTTGAAGAGATTATAATACATGGGAGTTTGAAGAGATCATAATACATGGGAGTTTGAAGAGATTATAATACATGGAAGTTTGAAGAGATCAAAATACATGGGAGTTTGAAGAGATAATACATGGGAGTTTGAAGAGATCATAATACATGGGAGTTTGAAGAGATCATAATACATGGGAGTTTGAAGAGATAATAATACATGGGAGTTTGAAGAGATCATAACACATGGGAGTTTGAAGAGATCATAACACATGGAAGTTTGAAGAGATCATAATACATGGGAGTTTGAAGAGATTATAATACATGGGAGTTTGAAGAGATCATAATACATGGAAGTTTGAAGAGATCATAATACATGGGAGTTTAAAGAGATCATAATACATGGGAGTTTGAATAGATCAAAATACATGGGAGTTTGAAGAGATCATAATACATGGGAGTTTGAAGAGATTATAATACATGGAAGTTTGAAGAGATCATAATACATGGGAATTTGAAGAGATCATAATACATGGGAGTTTGAAGAGATCATAATACATGGGAATTTGAAGAGATCAAAATACATGGGAGTTTGAAGAGATCATAATACATGGGAGTTTGAAGAGATCTAGCCTCCTCCGCAGGCATCGCCTTTCGATTATCGGGCAGAATTTCTTGCAGGTTCTGAAGTACGTGAACTACGAGATACCTGCGGAGGAGGCTAGAAGAGATCATAATACATGGGAGTTTGAAGAGATCATAATACATGGGAGTTTGAAGAGATCATAATACATGGGAGTTTGAAGAGATCATAATACATGGGAGTTTGAAGAGATCATAATACATGGGAGATTGAAGAGATCATAATACATGGGAGTTTGAAGAGATCATAATACATGGGAGTTTGAAGAGATTATAATACATGGGAGTTTGAAGAGATCATAATACATGGAAGTTTGAAGAGATCATAATACATGGGGGTTTGAAGAGATCAAAATACATGGGAGTTTGAAGAGATCAAAATACATGGGAGTTTGAAGAGATCATAATACATGGGAGTTTGAAGAGATCATAATACATGGGAGTTTGAAGAGATCATAATACATGGGAGTTTGAAGAGATTATAATACATGGAAGTTTGAAGAGATCAAAATACATGGGAGTTTGAGGAGATAATACATGGGAGTTTGAAAAGATCATAATACATGGGAGTTTGAAGAGATCATAATACATGGGAGTTTGAAGAGATCATAATACATGGGAGTTTGAAGAGATCATAATACATGGGAGTTTGAAGAGATCATAATACATGGGAGTTTGAAGAGATCATAATACATGGGAGTTTGAAGAGATCATAATACATGGGAGTTTGAAGAGATCATAATACATGGGAGTTTGAAGAGATCATAATACATGGGAGTTTGAAGATAATACATGGAAGTTTGAAGCGAGTGATTTCCCAAGCGGAAAACGAATTTTTGTTTAATATTCTTAGAGTCCCTCGACCTTCACGTTGCTGAAACATTTCAGACTCCGAACCCTTGTGGCTCAAATACCAATTCGTTTCAATCATTACTGAAATTTTTTATCAAAATTATTAAATTAATTACTTCATTAATGAATCAGCTATCTTTCAGAGACAGGGCTGTGCCCTTCTTCGCCGTTGGCGTCAGCCACCGTTTCAGACCAAAAATCTAATTTCCTTTTTAAAACATTATTTAATGGCGGCAGCCCCATCAGTAAAACGTTTGTTTGTATATGTGAATAGGTTTTTGGAATCATGCCTGGTATATATATGAATATAATTTTTTTATAAAAAAATTATATTCATATATATATATATTCATATATATATATATATTCATATATATATATATATATTCATATATATATATATATTCATATATATATATATATTCATATATATATATATATATTCATATATATATATATATTC